TGGGGTGTTTCTGTGTAAAAGGTGTCTGCAGAATTCTGCGTGTAGAGACTCTGTTGATGTTTGTCCAGCGGGTATAACTGTGATGACTGAGTGGACCCATACTTCACTACCATACAGCACAATGGGCTGGATGACACTGTTCAAGATTTTAAGCCAGATTTTAATTGGGATTTTTAATTATAAAATGTTCTCTTAATTGCGTGTAGAGCTCTTGGAGCTTTTTCTTTTAGTGCATTTACTGCCATGTTGAAACTCCCTGACGCAGTTATGCTGATACCAAGGTAGCTATAACTCATACTATGTTCAATCATGTTGGTGTTTATGGTAAACTGGTATTTGTTCTCCTGACATCTGGGGCGTTTTTGGAAAATCATGACATTGGTTTTCTTCATGTTCACTGCCAGGGCCCAGTTGTGACAGAACTGTTGCACTCTGTCCAGCTGTTGCTGTAGTCCTGGTTCAGTAGGAGACAGTAGAACCAGGTCATCGGCATGAAGCAGACACTTCACCTCTCTCTCAAGGAGGGAGAGCCCAGGAGCAGCACATTGATCCAACTCAACAGCAAGTTCATTTATATATATATTAAATAAAGTCGGACTTAAGTTGCAACCCTGACGAACACCTCTTTTCTGGGTGAAGGATTCAGTTTGTTTGTCTCCAATTTTAACAGCACATCTATTTTCCAAATACGTTGATTTATCCAGATCATATACTTTGCCCCCTATCCCACACTGTAGGAGTCTGTAGTAGAGCCCTTCATGCCAAATAGAATCCAAGGCTTTCTTGAAATCAATAAAACAAGCAAATATTTTACCATTTTTTGTTTGGTGGACATGTTTGTTAATTAAAGTATGAAGGGTATATACATGCTCGGTGGTCCGGTGTTTTGGGAGGAAGCCAATTTGATTTTTACCCAAGATGGAGTGTTCGTCGAGGAAATGTAGTTTTCTTTTATTGAGCTGCTCAGAAGTAGTAGAAGAGACTTCAGGGTCGATCTGTCGGTGAGTCTGAACTACGAACAGTTTCCTTGAAAGAATTCCCACGAGCAAGCGGATGAAAGTGTTTCTGCAAAATGTGACACCAGTCAGCTTTTCACAGAGAAGGAAGGGTTAACACACACACACACACACACACACACACACACACACACTGGTGCTTCTGACGTTTCCAGTGCGTTGGTTGTGGTTTTGGCTGCGGCGGCGGCCGAGCCTGAGATCAACGGAGGCCATTGTTTCTCTGAGAGAGAGAGAGAGAGAGAGAGAGGGAGAGAGAGAGAGAGAGAGAGAGAGAGAGAGAGAGAGAGAGACACCATTCTTTCCACTTTCCATTTCAGCTCTTGTCTGTTATTATTATTTTTTGTGAGGGACGGCTCATCTTTCCAGCTGTTATTGAAGATGATGAACAGGTTTTATGTTTTGGGGGGAAAAAAATCATTAACAAATTAAACCGCATCTGCTGCATCTGGTTAGTTTCTCTGACAAACAAAGTTTAATGTGTATTCTGTTTGTTAGTAGAGGAAGATGTTCGTGTGTTTCTTTGACTCTGCATGTTACCTGAACTCTCTCAGTGAGAGAAACTTAAACACAACACACACAAACTCGACTTTTAAGGCTCAATATTGAGTCATAAACAGGAAACTACATGTGAGAACTTAAAGGAACAATATGATGCAGCCTGAGCTACAGCCTGTCCTCATGTACACATGCTGCGGTCTGCAGTGCATAGTATATGAAAACATCTGGCAAACTTGTATTTCACAGAGTTCCATATTTCTGGAGGATTATTTCAAACAGCTGACAAAACTGTTTTTTCAGAATCATGATTCAGCAGGTTTTTGTTGTCCAGATGGGACAGATTGAGGCAGAACGTTTGGTTGTGTCGCTGTTAGCACTGTCAGGGTAAGCCAAACCTTTGAAGGACTATGTGATGATTCATCACTTTATGAATCTCTCGTCTGACTCACTGCATGAAGACTGAAAGTCTGCCATCGGCTGTTTTTTCAGAGGCATTTTCCTCCCCTTCCACTCTCTGCATCTATGTATTTTGAAAGGGTGAAGCCATAGGACGTATGTACTGGGAACCTTTTACTTTAATCTGCACCTCTGCATGTAAACAGTAGTATTACTTTTTATTGCTTTTTTTGAATAAGCGCAAAAAGCAGAATTTTCTTTGCATGTAAACGTATTCAGTGTGACAGCAGAGCGGTGGGATGAAAAGGGGAGATTGTTTCCGAAGTGTATGATCTTCCTGGATTATTGGATTAATTGTGGGCGGAATGTCATGAAATAGTTTCTTTATTTCCTGGATCGACCAAAGACAGATGTTGCTGTGTGGTTATTTTGTGGATTGACTTTCCCGTATAATGCACAACATCATTACGTATGCAGACGATGCAATAGTGTGATTAGAGAGTTTAATTTGTTTCACTGTTCTTGTAAGGAGAAAAGAAATAGACTTTTACAAACTCAACCTTAGTTTCATCACTGTAATATGTAATGTATGTGGGAATATTCCCCATGAACGGTGGAGCAGTTAGATTATAAAGACAGAACATTTCCGGTGCTCTTGAACACCGGATGACTGAAAGCTGATGATAAAGTGAGTCTCTCAGTTCTATCGATCGTCTCAATTTTAAAAATGGGATCTGACTGCTTAATATTTCCTCGAAAAAGGTGACTTTTTCTAAATCTAACTAGCAACATTATTCTGCATGTGCATGGTGTTTTTGTAAAACTTAATTGAGAATTGGGGCTGATTACTGTGGATTGTGGTTCAATGCTGACTTGATGGAAGTGAACATTTTCAGTCTTAACTAATCAATCCTCTGTCAGTTGATTGATTGATTGGTTGATTGGTTGGCTGATTGGTTAATTGGTTGATTGATTGGTTAATTGGTTGGTTGGTTGGTTGGTTGGTTGGTTGATTGATTCCTCTCTGGGCTGCTGAATCCTTTACTTAACAGCACGACTTGTCTTTTCCCGTTGATTTCCTCCTGATTCTGGAGTCCAATCTCTCAAAGACAGTTCCTAAACTACTCTCCTTGTGTCCTCTCCTCGTGTCTTGGTTTTGTCTCCTGAATCCTAAAGGTCCTTTTAACCTTCTTCTTGGAAACGTTTGTCTTCGTCCTCTTTGTTGTTGAATCTTTGATAATCAACACAGAAGCACTTTCCAGCCAATTCGACTGTTTGTCCTCGACGTCTCCCAACTTGCCTCCTGACTTCTAATGGTCGTAGGTGTTTGCCTCCTTTACCTATGGTCTTGTCTCCTACCCTTTTTATGGGTCCTATCCTCTTGTTGCCTTGTGTCCTGTCCCCTCGTGTCCTTGTCTACTATCACCTTGTCTTCTGAGTGATATTACCCAACCTTAACAGCTCCAGTGGAGGTTGTCCGTTTGTGAAAGTTCATGAATTTATCCTCCCACCATCACCTCCAGCGCTGGGCTGCAGCTCCACCAACTGTAACGTGGTGCTGACGGAGGCCCAGGGGGAATTCACCTCGCCCTGCTACCCCCAGAAATACCCCAATTCGCAGGCCTGTAAGTGGACCATGCAGGCCCCCGCCGGCTTCATCATCCAGCTCTCCTTCCTTGACTTTGACCTGGAGGAGGCGCCGGGCTGCATCTACGACCGGGTGGTGGTGAACACGGGAAACACGGACGTTAAGTTCTGCGGCCCGACGGCCAGCGGGCTGACGCTCAACTCCACGGGGAACGTGATGGAGCTGTCCTTTACCTCCGACTTCAGCGTGCAGAAGAGGGGGTTCAGTGTTAGCTTCCGACACGGTAGGTTCAGGGACCAGAGTCCTCTTGACTAATCCAGGCCCACATGCGGGCTCAAAGGGATCCAGGGTATCTTAGTTATCTAGGCTATCATCGCGCTCTTACTTTGAAATAAAGGCAAGAATTGAAACTCATATAATTGGCTGAGAGCTGATTGTGTGATTGCATTAATAAGATGCAGGTGTGTAGAGGAGCCTCCCAGAATGCACTGGGGGAATCCAGAAGTCTTATTTTATATTCCTGCGTTATAACTGGCGTGTTTTGAATCCTAACTTTAATTATCTAGCGAGCCATCGTTAAAAAAAAGATAGTTTTATCATAATCCTAAAATGAGTTCATATTACGCCGGATTAACCCCGAAAACTCTTGATCATGAGCTGATTGTGAGCCAGTCAACGTCTATCGTCATCCCAGTGAGAATGATCTTCATGAATATAAAGGTGGCTCTGATGTCTCCACAACACCTTTAACTATAAGATGAAGCCTCTGTTGGAGGATAAACTTTGGTCTGCAGTTGAAATGTCATATTTTTTGCTGCCACGTTAAGTTTAGTTCAAACCACAGGGATTTGAGGTTTCTCAGACAGCGAGAGCATCATCATCATCATCATCACACAGTCTGAGGAAGACGAGGGCGCTTTGACAGCAGTGTTGTGTGTGTGTGTGTGTGTGTGTGTGTGTGTGTGTGTGTGTGTGTGTGTGTGTGTG